GATTAGCCAATAAACTGACAAAAGGAAAATGTGGGGCCCCTTTGCTCAAAAAATGTCAAGATGTGAGGGCAGGGCATAAACCAAACACGAGGTCTTTCTTCTAAACGTCAGGACCGGTGAGGCCGTGCACGTTGAAGGCCCATGAACCAGCCCTCAGTGTTATCATCCCACAGATTGGTGTTCCTTGAGAACAGGACCTCTGTAACTGCACAGCTCAATCCCCAGAGTACCTTGCATTTGGCAAATATTCAGGAAACATTTGACTACTTACAGGACTGCATTATAATGAAAAGGAAGCAGGGTGTCTTATATTAAGGAAGGAATCCCTTCATGTTACAAAACAAATACTGATTAAAGAGAAAAGACATCTTTTACAGTACAGTGCCTGCAAAGCAACACGTTAGGAACTTTATGTTTTCTCTATTTACCCTTTACACATAATCTTAAAAGTAAATATAAAAATCATCTTTCTACAGCTGAAGAAATTAAGACTCTAAGATATTAAGAAACTTGCCCATGGTTACACCATTTTTCTCAAACAGCTCATCCATCTGATGAAATTTACTGAGCTCTTACTATGCTCCAAGTACTGTTTTAGGCACTAGGGATAAACAGCAAGAGAAAACAACAACCTATCTCTAATTCTGTCCTTGACCTCTTGGAGTATTAGTTCAGTCAGGATAGAAAGATAGAAATGAAACAATCTTACTTTTTAAAAAGTGGTAAAATGAGCTTTAAAAACAGTTTCCACATTCAGCAAATGAAAATACAGGATGCCTGGATAAATTTAAATTTCATACAAACAACAACACTTTAATATAAGTATGTCCCATGTAATATATGAGACATACGTAGATTATGAAATGTTTTATTAATCTGAATTCAAGTGTATGGAGTATTCCATTTTTCTCCAACAGCCTCATTTATAAAGAAAAGAACACTGTGAGAAAAGAAAGAATTTTCACCCCAGAGGGTTGGGAAGCTGCCCCAGAAAGGGAAGATGAGCGAAGGACAAAGAGCATCGGGAGTTAATACGGTGGAGGTAGGGTGAAGCGGGTGATGAGGTTGCTGTAGCAGGACAGGGCTGATGTTTGAAGGTTGCTAGGATGGGAACGGTTTAGAGGTTAAACAAAATGAAGCTACAGAAGTGAGCAGGGGCCAGACCATTCAGAGCTCTGAAGGCCATGCTAAGGTTTTCAGCCTTTCTGCTGCCAGAGCAACGTGTTGTAAATGCTGCTCCTTCTGCCTATGCCCTTCCTTCTGTGATACCATCTCCGTAACTGCCTCCACAGGGTTCTTTCCAACCACCCATCTCACTCACTCAGCCCCGACTCCTACCACAGAACTTAGTCGTCGTTATGTCTGTCTTGCCAGTTGGAAGATGACTTCTCTGAGAGCTTCAAGGAGAGACTCAATAAATAGTGAAAAGAGCAACACAGCCTAGAGAGCTCATGTGTTCTGGGTCCCTGTCACACTTCAACTGCTAGTTCAAGTACTCTTGCAAGTGTAGACCACTAATGATGACATATAACTTGCTTGGCAGAGCTTGATAAACATCATATTCTGGGCTCACCCATGGAACTACTCATTTAGAATACCTAGCGTGAAGCTCGGACATCTCTATTTGAATAAGCTCCCCAGAAAAGTATGATGCACAGGACTACTAAGAACCATCCAAGGACTTGGCTATACTAAGAGTCTAATTCATAATATTTTCAAAGAGTAACAAATAACAAGAAAAAGCACTTTGTCTAATTAGTCATAAATCTCACTGTGCTCTTGTGTTATAAGAGGGCCCAAGTGCTATGAGAAGACTAAAGCCCATTAATGTAGTTCTTAGTTTCCAGCCTTAAACATTTGCAATACATACTGGGCACAGGAAATGATGTAACAGCCATGGTGTATACTGGGTGCTCAACAGAAAGCATTTAAAATTTGTCAGGTTGAGGCACCCGTCTGGCTCAGTCAGTAGACCATGCAACTCTTGATCTTGGGGTTGTAAGTCTGAGCCCCACATTGGATATAGAGATTACTTAAAAATAACATCTTATAAGGGACGCCTGGGTGGCTCAGTGGTTGAGTGTCCGCCTTCAGCTCAGGGTGTGATCCCGGGGTCCTGGGACTGAGTCCTGCATAGGGCTCCCCACAGGGACCCTGCTTCTCCCTCTGCCTGTGTCTCTGCCCCTCTCTCTGTGTCTCTCATGAATAAGTAAAATATTTTAAAAATGACAACTTATAAAATAAAATAGTCATGTTAAATTCATCTGCATATCTATTTTAACTGAGATTAGCAAACTGAGATTATTATTTTTCAAATTTGGTCTTTTAAAAATGTTTCAATCCATAATCATAATGGCATAATACAAAATCTAACAGATCTATTATTCTACAAAAACAGAGCCCATAGTTCCATGTATAATTACAAAATGAGTTAATAAAAAACACTTCTTATATTCTACCTCTCAGCAAAGTTCAAATTTAAAATATAACCCATCAATGAATAAAGAAGATGTAGTATATATACAATGGAGTATTACGCAGCCATAAAAAGAATAAAATCTTGCCATCTGCAACAACGTGGGTGGAGCTAGAGTATATAATGCTAAGTTAAATAAGTCAGTCAGAGAAAGATAAATATCATATGATTTCACTCATACGTGGAATTTAAGAAACAAAACGAAAAAAAAAGAAAACGAATAAAGAAAAAAAGAGACAAAAAGTGGACTCTTGAATTTACAGAGTTTAGTTTGAATTTACAGAGTCTAGTTTGTCTAGAACAAACTAGTGGTTACCAGAGGACAGGCGGGTGGAAGGTGAGTGAAAGGTGATGGAGACAAAGAGCACACTTCTCATGAGGAGACTGAGTAACGTATAGAACTGTTGAATCACTATATTGTACACCTGAAGCTAATATACCTTGTATATGAACTATACTGGAATTATAATTTTAAAAAATAAAATTAAATATAGCTCATCATATATTTCTGTATTTCATGGAGGGAACGAATATTAGAACCAGAAGGTACCAAACCATCCAGTCCATTGCCCTCCCTTTATTTCATCTGGTTCAAAATTCTTCCCACCAGGGGAACCCATGATGATAGCAACTAGTACCAAGTGTCCCTAATTACAAGGGGTGTTTGTGATAAAAATAAGTGGTGCCTTTATACACCACTAGGACCATATTTCCAGCAAGAATTAAAATAGTAACTTGACCACCCACTGTTCTTTCAGCTGTGTCAAATAAAGAAAGGAGCTCCAAAATCAATTCACCGCAACATTTACACTGGTTGCTCCATAAGGCAGAATTGAAAAAGCAAAGCAAAAGCAAAGGCAATTTGGCAATGTTGTGCCAAAACCACACACAGACAGGGGACTATCTCTCTTAGGTTTACTGCAGACCTGACCTAGATGAGTTCGTGTTAAGTGTGCACAAGGATATACTGTTGTGAACCGTGGGTCAGACAAAAGGCACCGCAACACGGAGAAGCAGCCCGGCTGCAGGGTAGGCTGTCCCTTGAGACAGATGCACAGGATTCAAAGGGTGTCCTAACTTTAACCATTCATAGACTACCTGCCACCGTGTAGGAGGAGCGACGCTGAGTGGTAGCAAGGCTGTTTGACAAATCTCATGTTTTTATTCATGAAGTATATCATCAACAAGTTTACATTATGGTAAGAGATAATATCCCTAATTGTAGGAAATGGGTTTTCTAGGACTCGTGGTCCTGTGATATCTGGCACATTATGATACCCTTTGTGGTACTCTCCTTAAGGCTGGAAACTGCACCCTGTTTTCTGAGGCACCCTCCACATTTAAGGAATATGACTGGGTTAATAATGAGAAGAATTTTTACCTAAAAGCTCTGAGGCTAGGCTGCTGCTCGCACCAGAGAAGCAACTTTGACTGTCATCAGGTCATGAAAAATGAATTTGCTTTCTCTACTACATGACCAAAAACACTCAGATGTAATCCAGAGCTTCCCCCGCCCCCTTCTCCAGACAGCAGCTTAATGGCATCTGATTCTATATAAGGCTGTTAGGAAAAGTCTATTGTCTGCATTTGCTGACATTGAAGGCTAAATTTCATTAAAGGAACAACACTGGTGAATGTCTCCTGAATTTTTTAAAAAGTAAAACTGTTTTCTTTTTCCCTTAAAGGGACTGTGTTTCATAATCTTTTCCATTCATAGAGAATTTGTAGGCACAAAGCTGAGACCATTATCTTTTGTCCTCAAAACAACTTTGTAAACATGAGAGACTCCTAACTCTGGTACACGAACAAGAGGTGGTGGAAGGAGAGGTGGGCGGGGGTTGGGGGTGACTGGGTGATGGGCACTGGGTGTTATGCTATATGTTGGCAAATCGAACTCCAATAAAAAATTTTTTAAAAAAACTTTGTAATAAAACATCGTCTGAGCTCTTTTCCACATTTGTCAAATGTGGGGAATGAACCCGAGAGGGCAAGTCACTAATGCGTGGGGTGGGGGTGAGAATCTTTGTCTCTGAGCTCTCCCATGACTGCCTTCCCTCTGGCCTTCCTGCCTTCCCTCCACCTCCCCCTTCCAATCATTCCGCCACACATCATGAAGCTTTGGACTCATTCAGCAAAGCCAGTGGAGAAGTCTATGCCCAGAGGCTTCCAGAAGGCGGGGTTCCTTCCAAAAACTAACGCGTGGATTGGGCTTTTTATTTTCTACCGGGAAGCGCTCTCAGAACACATTTCGTGGCAGGAGAGAGGCGTGCAGCGCCGGCTCCGCAGGCCCACCTGGCCGCCCCACCTGGCCGCCCCGCCGAGTCTCGGGGACCCCAGCCCCGCAGCTTTCACAGCAGACGGGTCCCGGGCGCGAGGCCCTTCGGGAGGTGCCGAGAGGGCTGGCGGCCCGGGAGACCCACGCAGGCTATGCTCCGGGATAAGACCGGGAATTCGGCTGGAGCCGCCAGCCAGGCGCTCAGGAGGGGGCGCGGCCGAGGCCATCGCGGCGCCCCTGCGGGGGCGGATGACACGGCGCCCCGCTGTTGCGCACTGCGGAGCACCGCGCGGCCGCCCCCGGACCCCCCTCCCGGGCTTCCCCCGGCCTCCCTCGGGTCCCCCCCGGGCTTCCCCCGGACCTCCCCCGGAGCACCTCGCGGCCTCCCCCGGGCCCCCCCCGCGGAGCACCTCGCGGCCTCCCCCGGACCCCCCCGGGCTTTCCCCGGACCCCCGGCCTCCCTCGGGCCCCTCCCCCCCGCGGAGCACCTCGCGGCCTCCCCCGGGCTTCCCCCGGCCTCCCCCGGGCCCCCCCCGCGGAGCATCTCGCGGCCTCCCCCGGACCTCCCCCCGGACCCCCGGCCTCCCTCGGGCCCCCCCCACGGCCTCCCACGGACCCTCCCCCCGAGCACCGCGCGGCCGCCCCCGGCCCCCCCCCGGCCTGCCCCGGCCCCCTCCCACCGGTCTTCCCCCGGACCCCTCCCCGCGGAGCACCGCGCGGCCGCCCCCGGCCTCCCCGCCACCCGCAGCCCCTGACGCACGCGCGCCCCGACCCCCGCCGCCCCGCCCCGCACTCGGGCCCACGCAGCGGTGACGCGAGCGCCCCTCCCGCCGCCGCCCCCCGTGACTCCCCCCCGCGCCGCCCGCGGGCGCCCCAGGTCCCGGGGTTGTGCGCCTGCCGGGGGCGCCGCTGCCCAAATCCGTCAGCGCGCTGCGCATCCCGCAGGACGGCCGCGAGCCCCAGGGCCCAGCCGCAGAGCCCGGGCGGAGCGGGAGCGGCCGACGGCCCCGAGGGACGCGGGGGCGCTCGGCGGGAGGGAGGCGCGGGCCCCGGGGCAGCCCGGCCGCGGGACTCCCGGTGCTCCGCCCCCACCCCCGGCCCCGGCCCGCGCACACCCCGGACGCGGCCCCGCGGACGCGCGACGGCCCCTGACCCCGGGGTGTCGGTCGGGCTGGCTGGGCGCGGGGCCGCCCGCCTCTGCTCCCCGCCGGCCGCGCGCCCGCAGCGGGATCCAGCCCGGGAGCTGAGACCGCAACTGCGGCGCGGACGCCGGTCGCACGCCCGGCGGGGCTGGAGCGGCTCGAAGGGACTCCGGCCCCGGCTCCCCTGCGACCGCGGCCGCGGAGCACCCGGGAGGGCGCCCGGGCCCCGGGTTCTGCTTCACCCCGACCTCCCGGTCCCGCCCCAGCAAGCGCCCCCGGGCCCCGCCAGGCGCCTGCAGCCGCCTCCTCGGGGCACGCGGGCGAACGTGCGCTCCACGAGGCTGCGGAAGTTCCCGCCGGGCGCCCGGCTCCCCGCCCCGCACGGCCGCCGCGGGCCCCACTCACCGCTCCCGCCGCCGGGATCCCGGCCCCGCTCGCTCCCCGGGCCGCCTCCGTCCGCCCCTCTCGCCGGCAGCGCGCGGACTGGCGACTCCGCCGAGCGTGTCAGCGGCGAAGGGAGGGGCGGGAAAGTGCTCGGGCGGGCGCGCCGCGGCCCTCCCCGCCCGCTCCCGCCCCCGCCCCACCCCCGCCGTGCTGCAGTGCCGGCCGCCGCGGGGCGGGAGTCAGGGCGCCGCGCGGCGGGGGGGCATGGGGGCGGGCCGACGGGCCCGGGGGTGGGCATGGGGGGCGAGGGGCGGGCCCGGGGGAGCATGGGGGGCGGGGGGGTGAGGAGCGGGCATGGGGGGCGGGGGGCCGACGGGCCCGGGGGGGCATGGGGGGCGAGGGGCGGGCACGGGAGGGCATGGGGCGCGGGGGGGGGCGAGGGGCGGGCCCGGGGGGGCATGGGGGGCGGGCCGACGGGCCCGGGGGGCGTGGGGGACGGGCCCGGGAGCGCATGGCGGGACGGGCCCGGGGGGCCGGGGGGGGGTACTGGAGACCCCACCAGTGGCCAGGACCCTCGGAGGACTCAGCGGGGGGTTCCTTAACTGGTCCCTAGCTGTAACTCTGCGTGCGCCCGGGGACGGCGCCCTAGTGTGGTCCCGCGACACCACCGGGAGTCCTGCGCGCTGACCTCGCGGGCGCCCGGCACCCAGGTTTGCCCCCTCCGGGCCCGGGCCGACCCGTTGACGCCAGCGGGCTCCGCGGCGCACCTGGCCGCCGAGCTGACCAGCGCCCCCCCGCGTCCACACTGGCAGACGAGTCGAGTGGACACGTGGGGAGCAAACTTTGCTGGGCGTCTGAGGGCTCCCTAGGGCTAGGTGCGCCCAGACAGCGGATCCACAGGCGGACAGAGCAGGTAGCTCTTTTAGGGGGAACTACTGAATATCTAAAAAGGGGAGGGAGGCTCCGTAATTTTGTTTGTCTCCCCCCTCGAGGCCCCGGCTGAGCTCCCCCAGTGCAGGAGGCGGCTGGGGGAAGCGGGCTCTCGGCGCCCCCCCCCACCGCGTGCTGCCACCCGGGTGCCGCGAGGAGCCGGCGTCCCCAGGTCGCTCCGAGGCGCCCGCGCGGGCCGGGCCGGGGCGGCCGGGCGGCAGGTGTCGCCCCGAGACGCGCTCCCGCCGTGGGGACCCGAAGCCGACCCAGCGCAGCGCCGGGGCGCGGGGCAGCGGGGGCCGCGCACAGGCACACGCGCACAGCTTTTCGGCCGGTGTGCCCTGTCCGTGTAAATACGCCTGGATGGGTGAACGGATCAGCGTGTAGACGGAAATACGACTTTACGCGCACTTGCGTGGCGGAGAAGAGCTACGAGGCCGCTCAGGCGGCCTCCCGCCCAGAGAAGCGGGTCGGGAAGGAGGCGGTTCGGTTCCGCGCGGTGTCGGAACGTGAGCTCCCTGGCTTGCTTTGTGTCACTCTGCGGGATAACTGTGGAGAGAGGAAGATAGAAACAGTCCTTGCCTGTAATTTCCCCTTGTCGCCATTTCAGGGACTCCAGAACTCTAAATTATGATCCCCACCCCCCCACCCCCACGTCCTGTTGAACCTACACCTGCTTTACTACATCGGCCTTTGAAAACCTGCTTGGGGCTTGTTTCGATGAAAGGCTTTGCAGTTTGCAACTATATGTGGTGCCCTAAGGTGGTCAGGGAACATGAAAATTAGGGAACATGCTTATTTGCATTTCATCGATCCTTCTGCATAAGCAAATTATTTAAATTGAATAATTATTTAGGCTAAAATTATTGTGCTGTTACATTGAGAAGGAAAATATATCCCATAGGAATGCCTACAAATCTAGCATTGGAAATGAAATTGTGAAATTAAAAAAATCATAAATCTTATCCAGATTGCCTGCATATTACATATGAAACTTTGTGCTCTCAGCTGCATAATATGCCGGTGATCCACTGCGTTCCCAAATGGACAGACACCCTCCTGAGAACCTTCCCCCCAAATGTCACATGACAATGGATTATTTCTCCAACAAGAGAAGTTCGGAAAACCACAAATGATCAATGTGCCCTGTGCTATGCTCTCTTTTGCTTCAATCATTTCCTTGTGCTGTCCATGGAAGATACTTTAAAAAGTATATAAATTTTTCTAGCTGCCAAGTTTCCATGTCTTGATGCACTTGAAGATAACAGCTCCTACAGGAAAATTCCCGATTGTGTATTTTTGAGAAACGTCTGATTTAAGACCAGCTTGTGTTGGAGGAGGGTATTTTAAGGCTGTACATCAAATATTTTGTCATGATGATGGGACACATAGATTCTTCAGCCTGCCCACCATAACCGCTCTCATTTTAGGGTCCTAAAAACTCTTGTCTTATAGGGACTGATGGAGGGTAAAGGGGAAACCTGCATTGTTCCCACAGAATCCTAGAGCTCTGACATCACTACCCTCCTACCAATCTGGAATTCTATTCCACAGTGCAGAATCTGCTGAGCATGGTTGGAAAATAAGCCATTAAACACACCTACGGAGCATCAAAGATGTGTCTTCACATCTGCTAAGTACAGATGCTGTAGTGATTACATTTGATAACATACACAAGAAGCACAGCCTAGCACATAGTGGGCGTAGATTAAATGCTAATGCCCCACCCCTTCCAGTAGCCAGAGTGAGGTTTTCCCAAGTTTGTGCCTCTGAGTGCTAGTCCTATGTTTCTGCAAGCTCAGGGTAACTGGCAGCTGGCTTCCAGAACAGAGACCTCAAGAGAGCCTCATACACTTGGACCAAGGCTGCACAGCTCCAGTTTTCCTCACCTTCATCATCAAGGGTTAATAAGGAGGCAGACACCCTTCTCACCCCTAATGCTCACAGCCTCCCCAACAGTCAGTTGGGGAGTCAGTCAACGTTAATCTCATGAAGCCCTTAATGCCTATGTATGTGGGTTACCACAAGCAGCTGGGGAATCTCAAGCGCATTTCTTATATCTTGCATTTTAACACTCATAAGACTGAACACATCCTACATGTCCCTTTCTCCCTATCCAGCTCCTGAAACCTTCTGTTTTGGCCTTCTGGAAGGCACATTCCACCATTAGCAAAATGCCCTATGTCTTCAGTCTCATCTCCGAAAGTTCCCTTCACTTCCTGCTCTAATGGAAGCCTGATTCTCTCCCTAGAGAGGCTGCTTCCACACCCCTGGCAAATGATGGCTGGTTTTTCCCTCTCCAGCTTTTGTATCACTCTGTCAGGAGATAAGAAGGTAGTGTCTTGTTCCTCAGTGCTGCTTCCAGGACATTGTTCATTGCTTCTCACTAAAACCTATAGCTTTGGATCTTACTTCTTTGGGTTAATTTATACTGTTGCTGCTATGCTCAGACCTCCACAGCACCCTGCACCTTTCCCAACAATTTTAGCTCCTAATTCAGGGTCACTTCCTAAACAGTAACCCTACCTTAATCCTCACAAATTTAATGCACATGAAGATTTCATTGCAACCAGTACTACCCTTAGTCCTAAGCAAGAAGGGTTCTGTACCTGGACTTTAGAATGCCTTATTAAAACATTTTAAGTCCCTCTTTGGTGGCTGTGTTTGCAGCCCCAAATTTTCCTGAAACTATGAATTCAGTTTAACTTTGGGCTGGTAATTTCCCAGTACTCTGGCAGAAGAAAATACTTTCTGGAAGAGCTCTCCTTTATCCTAGACTTCAAAAAATATTCCTTCAAGTAAGCTTTTAATGAAATCTAGAAAATGAAGCACACAAAACAACTAAACACACAAGGAAGGATGACACCATGAAGAAGAGTCAGCAGATATAACAGAAGAAACATCAGTCCTTCCTCAAGAAAAAAACTTCAGGTGTTGGAATTACTACTCACGATTCTTTCTTTACTTGAAGAAAACTAGAGACAAGTTTATAAATATTTGCAGGTGATAGGAAACTATAAGGAATAACCAACCATATTTGAAAAGGTACCAAATCAACCTATCCAACTTTACTGGTTGTCTTATCAACATCAAATCCAACTTCCACACACATATAACACACCTTCCTCCCTCCTTAAAGAACCTTGATTTTATTTAGGGATCAATCTTTTTTTTATTGTACCATATATTTAACAAAATTATTTTACACAAAATGCTAAGAGCACATTTCTTCATATTTTACAGAAGGGCTTGAAATTCATGTCATTGCAGTACCAAATCTAACTCCTGACTAGATTGATTACATTTTGTTTAGAGTTTAAAGCCTTAATGTCAATAGTCATTATCATGATTAATAATAATTACTGACTACAAAATATATTCAAGAAATAGTGAATTAAGTTTAATTCAATCTCATATGCCCTGAGGGAGGTGGAGTATTTGGAGGAATATTTGCTATGTCCAAATAATGTCCTCTTTGGAACTTCTGTGACTGCAGGGTTGTGAATTATCAGTCCCTTCCCTTGCTGCCAGACATCATGCTATCAATCTCCTTTACTCCCTTGCAGGGTCTTTTAAGATCTATGAAAAAACAATTATAAGATAGAAGTGTATGCCTTTCTTTCTAGCTTCTGGGTAGACTTCTTTTACTCACAGCTGAACACATTCTTACACGTACATTATCCACAAACTCTAAAAAGAGTATCTGGTACATAGTAGATTCTCCACAAATGTCTACTGATTTAAACCGAGCTGTGTGTTGAGTTCATTTCTGCTGAGAAAACAAGAAGGATGTCTTCATCTGTTGGTCCTGAAATCATAGAAGGTGTTTGGCAAATATTTTCTTAAAGCCAGAATGGCTTCAGGATCTTAGTAAGCAAAAGGAAAGCTTTTAGGGTCCAGATGGAAGGCTGAAAATGAAAAAAAAAAAAAAAAAAGAAACTCAGTGAAAACTCAGATTCTGGAAGAATCCTTCTGCTCAAACTGCCAGGGAAGAAGCTGCACCAGACAGGGTCAGGAAACAAGAATCTGAAGAGGTCTCTAGCTTCCACTGGTGGCTCAGAGGGAAAGGTAACATGTCACTTGGGAGTCTGTGCTCGGGCAGAGATGGGGAAGGGAGCAGAAATATCCACAAGAGACACTCGTTGGCAAAAAAGAAGCAGAATTTCATGTCTGGAAAACTTTCCTGCTAAGAAGGAGAGAGATGAATTAAAGAAAATGAATCTGTTCAGGGCTGCACCCTGGGTGTACTCTGCGGGCCCATAATCATACCTCTCTATATAGATTGCTCCCTGTGTCTGGGTATCTAGAAGAAAGTAGATTTGTCATCCAGACAATGTCTAACCTCCGTGCGTGTGACTACTGATAAGACGCAGAAGGGGCGCTGGGTTCCTGAGGTCTCAGTTCCGGGAAGAGGAGCTCCCGACACCTGAATGGTGGCAGAGCAAACTGGAGCCACTTCACACGACATGTGGTGCCTGGCCATTAGTTTAGAGATGCCTGGGAGAAAGCATGGCTGTGGGTAGGCGTCTCACTTGCTCCAGTCTCTCGATGACTGGGTCGGGTCTCTGAGTAAAGTGTAAATGCCTCGGCCTGCTCTTCTATCTCAGAGAGACTTGGGCACAGGGGAAGCATCAAATCACCAGGTGGCCGGGATGGGATGACTTGGCCGTTCTCTGACCTCAGCCATCCCATCCCGGTGCTTGCATAGTGGGCCTGGGGAACTGTCAGTGAAGGATGGCAGTTGGTAGATATGTACTGCCCCACGGAGGTTCAATTCTGAGAACATTCTATACAGTCTCTCAGAGGGTTTTCGATAGGATAGTGCCCATTTGGCCATAGTGGTGACCAATTTTTTAGTCAACAAATTACTGACTTTCCTCCCTTCCTTATTTCGCTTCTTCACCTGCCTACTGTACCTCACATGATCAATTCTCTAGTA